TTTTCTTTCATTCTTAATTATTCTTTTAATAAAATCTTTCGGATAATTGTTCATCATTAGGCTAGATGTAATTAAATTTATTTCCTTTTTCATATCGTTTGGTTCCGTGACAAGTTTTTGAGCTCTTGTAATCATATTTTTGACCACTGTCACTTTGGTCGAGTGTGGATGTGCCGATTTAAAATCTAGATATTTTCCTGAATTTGTCGGCTTTCGGAATATACTAATTTTTAAGCTATCATTATCTTTCCTTTCAACTAAACAGTCTAGGAAAGGTAATTTGTGTTCAGGAGATTCCAACTCTTTGGTGAATTTGATTTTTTCATCAAAATTGTTGACAAGTTTAAACAATTCGTCCACATGGTCTCATTTTATAATGACAAAAGTGTCATCTACATATCTTAACCATACCACACATTGAGATGGTACTAGTTTCCGATGAATGCATAAAGAGGTTAGCAACAATAGGAGAAACCGGTGATCCCATAGCTACACCTTCTGTCTGTCTGTATAAATTCCCTCGAAAACTGAATATAGTTGAACGTAAACATAGATCTAACGCTTTAATAATATCCGAGGTAACTAAAGGACAGCGTTGTTTAAGATCAGTGTCAGAATCTAAGAGATTATATATAATATCTAGTGTTTTCTTAATTGGAATATTAGTGAATAATGAGCAAACATCAAAACTTGCCATTATTTCATCTTCTTCTATGTGAATATTAGAGATAACATCTTTAAAATCATTAGAATTTTTTATTCCGTGTTTGATTGAGCTTTCATATGGTTTAATAATCTTAGCTAGGTATCTAGAAAGATTGTGGGTTGGTGAATTGGTATAATCAACAACAGGTCTTATTGAGACATCTGTTTTATGTATTTTTGGTAGTCCATAAAATTTGCATGGTTTGTTGCTTTTCGGATATAGAGAAAACCATAGAGATGGTCCTAGTTTCGGTTTTAAAGCCTGTAGCATTTTGGCTGTTTCGGCTTTCAACTTATTCAAAGTTGCTCTACATTTGTTAATCTTGATTTTTTCATAAGGTCCAGTGTGGAGATGCTCATTGACTTTTTTTCTCATAATCAGAATTATTCATAACAACAGTGGTGTTTCCCTTGTCAGCTCTCATTATAACAATTTTTCTGTCTTTACGTAACTGTTTTAAAGCATACATTTCTTCTTTACATAGATTAGGTGTATTCGGTTTTTGTTTCAATAACGCATTTGATATTTTAAACCTCACTGAATTCGCTTGATCAGTCGGAACATTGTTTAAGGCAGGTTCAATAATCGGAATAATTTCAGAGGCCATAAGTTGTGTTTTGCTCAAATTGTAATTGAGACCTTTTTTAGTTGATAGTTCGTGTTGATTTAAATATTTGTCAGATAGATTCACAACAACTTTGTTTATATCTAGTTCTTTGGAATTGTTTCTAATCGTGTCATTATTGGAATTTGATGGATGTTTAAACATTTGTTCGAATTTCCTTATTTGACGTTTTTTTGTAATTTGATCATAAAAGTTTTCTTTATGTTTAAAAAATTCAACAGCATTTGTTTTTATTTCTGGTGGTTAAATAATGATAAAACAATATCAACATTCGCAATTGATTGATCACCGGGTGATGATCAATCTCATGCATGTCAGGTCCTTCTTAGTGCTGATCGAATGCTATCGATCGAGTTGCAATGTGGCTGAGTGACGCGGGATCGAATCCGCCAGGGAGCATCAGTTCCCTCAGGATTACAGGTACACCTTGCTGACGAGTGCCAAGTAGCACGAAACCCGTGTCCAGGGTTTCGTGTTGACCACCTCCAACCACCATCTTATCTCAGTATACATACTGGAAGCAGTGTCGAGCCACCTAGACTGGTGGCCACATTGCAAATATTTAAATCAACACGAACTATCAACTAAAAAAGGTCTCAATTACAATTTGAGCAAAACACAACTTATGGCCTCTGAAATTATTCCGATTATTGAACCTGCCTTAAACAATGTTCCGACTGATCAAGCGAATTCAGTGAGGTTTAAAATATCAAATGCGTTATTGAAACAAAAACCGAATACACCTAATCTATGTAAAGAAGAAATGTATGCTTTAAAACAGTTACGTAAAGACAGAAAAATTGTTATAATGAGAGCTGACAAGGGAAACACCACTGTTGTTATGAATAATTCTGATTATGAGAAAAAAAGTCAATGAGCATCTCCACACTGGACCTTATGAAAAAATCAAGATTAACAAATGTAGAGCAACTTTGAATAAGTTGAAAGCCGAAACAGCCAAAATGCTACAGGCTTTAAAACCGAAACTAGGACCATCTCTATGGTTTTCTCTATATCCGAAAAGCAACAAACCATGCAAATTTTATGGACTACCAAAAATACATAAAACAGATGTCTCAATAAGACCTGTTGTTGATTATACCAATTCACCAACCCACAATCTTTCTAGATACCTAGCTAAGATTATTAAACCATATGAAAGCTCAATCAAACACGGAATAAAAAATTCTAATGATTTTAAAGATGTTATCTCTAATATTCACATAGAAGAAGATGAAATAATGGCAAGTTTTGATGTTTGCTCATTATTCACTAATATTCCAATTAAGAAAACACTAGATATTATATATAATCTCTTAGATTCTGACACTGATCTTAAACAACGCTGTCCTTTAGTTACCTCGGATATTATTAAAGCGTTAGATCTATGTTTACGTTCAACTATATTCAGTTTTCGAGGGAATTTATACAGACAGACAGAAGGTGTAGCTATGGGATCACCGGTTTCTCCTATTGTTGCTAACCTCTTTATGCATTCATCGGAAACTAGTACCATCTCAATGTGTGGTATGGTTAAGATATGTAGATGACACTTTTGTCATTATAAAATGAGACCATGTGGACGAATTGTTTAAACTTGTCAACAATTTTGATGAAAAAATCAAATTCACCAAAGAGTTGGAATCTCCTGAACACAAATTACCTTTCCTAGACTGTTTAGTTGAAAGGAAAGATAATGATAGCTTAAAAATTAGTATATTCCGAAAGCCGACAAATTCAGGAAAATATCTAGATTTTAAATCGGCACATCCACACTCGACCAAAGTGACAGTGGTCAAAAATATGATTACAAGAGCTCAAAAACTTGTCACGGAACCAAACGATATGAAAAAGGAAATAAATTTAATTACATCTAGCCTAATGATGAACAATTATCCGAAAGATTTTATTAAAAGAATAATTAAGAATGAAAGAAAAGACGGTATGGATAATACAAAAAGATTACAGAAAAAGGAATGGGTTAACACAGTGGTGATCCCATATCGGAAAGGTGTTTCAGAAGATATTAGAAGAATCTTAAATAATTAAAGTACATTCCTAAATCCTCAGATGATGTAAGGAAACTAGAGAACAAATCAGTGATAGCATTACACTCGATAGAATCGGGTCATACAATTGATTTCGTTCACACAAAAATCCTTCAATTCTTACAAAGGAAGACAAACAGCTGAAGCCCTATACATTTGGGCTAATCCAAACAATATTAATAGGAGGGATGGAATACAATTAGCAGTGCCATGGCGGCTAATCATTAATAAGTAAAAAATTGAACTCCATAACGTTTTTATCTATTTTGTATTATCTAAATGTCAACAAATACATCTGATGATTTTAATCAGTTTTCTTATCGGAATTTATTATAGTTGAAAGCGTGAGTCAATTGAAGCTAGACCACCATGGAAAACCTGGACGGCCGTTTCGTCCTATTATGGGACTCCTCAGCAGTTCGCATCCACGAACCCGCTCTTGCGAGATTCGAACCCAGGACCTACCAGTCTCGAGCCGAAGCCCTTAACTGATAGAATAGGAATTTGTTTAACAATTCACTGGAACATTAAAAATGACATACATTTTTTTAAAAATTTACACTCTTTAAAAATCTCACTTTTATTATTTTTATTTTGTTTATTTATCTTCATTTTATACATGCTGTGACAGATATGATTCATATCATATATTACAAATTGTATGTCTCCTTATAAATTCACTGATAAGAGACAATATCTAATGTGAATGTAATTTCTCCTCTCACCTCTTACGTTTTCTATATAATATGTTATATGAACACTTATCATTTCACATCACACACCTCTTACACACTAATACACATACCTAGTTTAGACATTGTTAACGATGATTGGATGACCTATTCAGTGTACAATGAACCCGGAGAACCATGTACCTATTTATATTCGATAATTTTGATGTTAGATTATAATTCCTTGAAAAAGCTTGAACCAGATTGCCAGGCGAAACGTTGGATTTACTACAAATTCATTCACTGATATTTTACAAATATATACAATTCCTATATAATGTCTTACAACAACTCGGCGCTCCAATACTGTGAAACTATTAGTTCTAATTTAGACGAGAGTTCTTATATACTTACTTAATTATTTTGAAATCATAAATGCTATGATTTTAACACTTCTTCAAAGATAGTAGGACGTACTTTTATGCGATGTCAGAGCTTCAGTCTATTTGTTCCGGATAATTTACACAGAAATAAAGATTTTTTAAAATTTGGGACGATTATTTACGAATTCAACTACAAACATGGGATTTATTGAGTGGTAATACAACAAAATAACGGTGAACATTTTTAATTAATTAGTAAGCAACTAATAAAATTTTTAAAACAACGGTGAATGAAGTAGCTGAGGGCACAAGTGTACATTGAACTCAGGAAAAGTAATTATTTTTCGAAATTACTTTTCCAACATTATATCATTAGCGAAGACAACCGATTGGTTAAAACTACCGAGTACATTACAAAAAGATAGTTAAACTATACAAAAATAAATATGGAAATTCATAATCAAACAAAATCAACTGATATTACCTCTAAGGAACAATAGTTTACTTTATTTGCAAACAAAAAAGGAGAAAAATCTATGAATGAAATAAAGCAAAACTTGAACTAACTCGTTCAACAACAGCGAATCCCCCTTCATCATCGGTAGTTCTTAAACGTGCAGCCTCGATTTTCTGTAGATCTTCTGCAATACATTTTGCAAAATACTCTTCAGATGAACCGTTATTTGGTGCTATATTTTCATCGATTAGATTGGGTGACAATATAGTACTGACAATTGAGTTGACATGTATTCCAATATTTCTTAATGAAGCACCTAACTGGCCGGAAAAAGGGGACCCGACCAGCCCTGCCCCTCCCACTCTTGCTGAACTGAAATGACGTTTGTTTTGTACAAAACTAGTGATATAATGCAGATATATTTTGGTTTAATGAAAACATAAACAAACATACATGAAAGAAGTAAACAGAATTCACTGCTGTCTAACATCTTTTTAAATGCTAGCAATTTACTCAAGTTAACGATTTTCAGGATTTGATTAAACTAAATATATTATTTATTAACAATCAATATTGGTTAGATAATTGCTTAAAAATAAGAAGCGGTGTAGATGGCATTTGCATGCTACATTGTTATAAACAAATATACCCAACTCAATTATGCAATATGTACCCATTATATCTGAATATCGGAGTAGAAACCTTTAAATTTCGATGGTAGTATAACTGACAGTATTTTTTTTCCGCCTATTTTTTGAACTCAAAACCGAAATTTTTAGGTTAATCTGGGATGAAATTTAGAGTACAAATTAACAAAAACTCTTAAATTAAGACAGAGAAATGTTGCAAGTCAACACTTAATTTCGAACTGTGATTCAAAATCATTTCAGATTGAAAGTAATTATATTTTACTTTGAATATGAATTATACACAATAATTACGTATAGAAAACTTTTGATGAATCAAATAACAATTTCATTAAACTTACGGATCAGGAAGATGGTAATTAGAAGCAAAATTATATTGTGGGCGAGGTCTGATAATGTACCGATTCTCATCATCATGACATCTAAATTAATGAGCAACAATAACAACCAGTCGATAAACAAAGCAATCATTCATATGCCCAAACAATAAAACGATTAATTCAAAACAAAGTATAGATATTACAGAAAAATTTAAATTTCAAGCAAACACGGAGTACGTTAAAACTGATTTAATGATTTAAGCAACCTAACATATTTACAGAATCTATGGTTTACAGACAACTGGATGAGTTTGTAGGTTATTCGTTACAAATGTAAGTAACGCACGATATAGTACAGACATGTCAGTTTTAGATTCATACAACAAGAGACAATCAGCAGGATAATGAGCTAAGACAGAAAACATTGATTTTAGCAGTAGTGTGGACAAAAATAAAAGGATGAACGGTCAAAAGGAGAATGTGAAAACAAGGAATGAAAAGAATGAGATAATACAGTAGTTAAGTTACAAGAAAATAAAGAAATGCATCTAAAAAAAAGAGACAGATTTATAGTCATATTACCTGACATCGTCAACCATACATTTTGATTAATCGGTAAACTCTAATCAAGTCAGCGTCTCACAACACATCATACATTAATGATCAATGATTAGTGTGAAGTGATGTTTTAGTAGTTGGGGTATCCAATTTTTAGAGCCTTGATTATGAATTAGAATGCCATCTAGTCAGTCAGGTAGTAGTAGTAGTAGTTATACTAAGTTAGACATTTTCAGTAGAGATGAGTACATATATGATTATTACCACGGCTATATGTCTCGGTCAAACCAACCGTACACTCCTGCAACCACAATCAACACTAACCATAAACAATGGCAGCTGGCCATGAGTAATACACGTTTCAACCAGGTCAACAGAAATATGTTGACAGTTCCATCAACAGCTTTATCATCTCTACTTGGCGATTAACCATCTAACATCACCCGAAGGTCTCACCAGACACGTACAATGGTCCGAAGACAATCACGGTCAAATAACTATATATTACACACGTTTTCTACCTTACAAGTCCATGTTTGGAATTCTCAAGATAATACAGGGAGAATCGCCTTGTAGTGAACAGATTGTTTAGTAGGTAGACGGAAATATCGACCGAGCTACATGTGACACAATTCGAGGAAATACACAAGATTGCAAAAGTAACAAATGTCACCATACATATTTTCTAAGTTGATAGGCTGATAAAACTACCTAATAAACTTGGAAACAGTTCCCTGCAGAATAAATAATATATTTGTAATACTCATTGGGATGTTACAAACATATTATTTATTTATAACAATCTATCCAATGCTCACTTTATTCGAAATTATCAATTCAAACCTTGGTAATGATTCCTATAAGTTCCCTGTAGAGTTGAAAATTAAATTTGCTTGGTTAGCCGCAATCCGCAAGGCTAGATAAAGGAACAATATTGATAATACTTAGTTATCTTGGACAAGCTAACTGTTGGTAATTTCAGGAGGAAAGTGCTGAATGGCGTGAAATGCAAATAGATATATAACTGGGTGAGCATCTCAGTGTACTAAAATAGTTAGGATTAGCTGGAAATGCTTACATGTTTACATACATAGATGGTAAATTCTTTAAGATGAAACAGGAGAGCTTTTCGCTATGAAAACTCCTACATAGCTAGTAATGAGAGAGGACTGTATGACTGTCGGCCTTCTATAGTCTGGACAGCTAGATGGTTAAATTACTACATTACAAGTATTTGGACAGTAAAATCACAAAAACATCACCAGTGAACAGCGTTTTCCGGTTCCCAAGCAGGGTTTATAATCTGAGGGCTTGATGAACATCATTTAAGAGTTTGTATAACAAGGTTTTATCGGCTATATTAAGAATAGTTCGATTGTATTCAAAACCTAGCGACCAAAGATATGAATTATGAAAACTTATTAATCAATACGTGAAAAGTACCTTGGTAAGAATTAAAGTGTTTTAGGTATTATAAGATTTGGCTGTCTGCCACTCAATTTGTTTGGGCATGAGCCGCACTTTATTCCTTTTCCTAAGACCTGGGTATAAAATTTAATCAACGGATTTTTGTTGAGTTTTCCTGGTTGGTTCTTAGCTGACTTCTAACAAAGATGCACTAAACATCGCTTTATACTGACAGAAATACCAAAATCGATACAACGATCAACGCGACCAAGTTAGAAATGCGCTTCCTTAAACAATTTAACTGAAAATGTATAGTGAAACTGACTAGTCAGTCAGTCAGCTACAAAGTACGACCAGGCACATATATGCATCGGTCCACGTTGCCACACCTCATTAACACAACAAGATGAACACCAACTTTATAGTAGTTAATTTATTGGTGGTAATAAATAAAAGAAAGATTATGTATAAGGATATAGAACAGGAAGAACGAAGTAGTTGGTAGGAAGAGCGATATAAATCAATTTTAATCTCACGGTTTAAGGGAAGATAAAGTGTGCATACACTTACGCCATTGTGATCGATTCTGAGCCATGTCACACAAAGTCTGTAACCATTGATTACGATAGTCACGCGGACCCCAACCAAGTAGAATGCATCTTTTGTAGAGGATTAATTCCTCTATATCTGACTCAGATAAATAAATAATATCCCGCTAACTGAATATTTACTGCAGGCTAAATCTCCTAGTAGAATTACGGGTTTACTCGAGATTATTCAAAAGCCTGAACACCAGTTGTAGAGATAGTTTATTGTTGAAGCTCGGTAAAATCCGCAAGCGTACAGATAGCAAGCACACCGGGAAAACAAGTGAGTGTGTGTGTGTGTGTTAAAATCCATATATATTTATGAGTGTTAATGGTTGTGGATAAATCATTGATTGTCTTTGTTTACAACCAATGAGAGAACAGACTAAGGATTGATGTGCAGACATATGCGCTCAATCAGACTCACATAAAATGTACAGTGGATTAAATGTTAAGATTACAGAGAGCACACAAAAAATACAGTAGTTGAATAGGCTTGCTACACATCTACCATCATGGCTCAGACTAGAAGTTAATGACTTCAAGCACTGATGCCACGTTTTGGTTTGGCCGCCCCTAACTTTTTTCCAACCATCGCCAATACTAGTCAGCATAGCGCGTCGTGGTAGTCGGTGTTCAGGCATACGTAACACGTGGCCTAACCATCTCAGTCGATGAAGATTAACAACCTCATTAACTGATTTACCATCATTCCCTAATACTTTGCGTCTAACCTCACTATTACTTACCCGGTGATCCCAGCAGATGCGAGCAATATTTCTAAGGCATTTGTGGTCAAATACTAGTAGTTTACAAGTGTCTTCTACCGTTAATGGCCACGTTTCACAGCCATAAAGTAGAATAGAACAAACTGCTGAGCAGTATACCCATCTTTCTACTGATAGACGGATACCTCTACTTCGTCATAAAAGACGTGAGTTGGCAAAAGCCAGACGAACTTTCTGAATCCGTGCATAGGTTTCGTCGAAAACAACACATTAGGACTGATCAGACTTTCAAGATAAGTGAAGTTGTAGACGCGTTAGACTACTTCACTCTCTATCCTTAGTTTAGGTGTTGTGTTGATGCAGGCCAGTCCTGAAGCAACAATGCGCATTCGGACGGGGAGAAACGCATCTCAAACATCCTGTCGTTGTTGCTCAGTGCGACCAAAACACTCCGCATTTTATCACCGTCTTCACCAAACAGGACTATGTCATCTGCGTATTCTAAGTCAATAAGTGGACCTCCTAGTAGATCAATCCCAAAATCTTCAGACTACGTGAAAGTCCTTTCCAGCAGTAGGTATATGGTGAAATTAAAGAAGATAGTGGACAGCATTGCCGGACACCACTTGAGGATGCAAAATCAGATAACAGTTCGCTATAAGCTCTCACTCGACTAGGAGTATTCGAGTAAAGAGCCTTCACAAGGTTTATGTGCTTCTGAGGTACACCTTTTAATGACACACACTGTCACAGAACCTTTCGGTCTACAGAGTCAAACGCTGCTTTCAAGTCAAGAAAAACTATTATTGTCTGACGCCGATAAGCATGCCTGTACTATAAAACCTGACGAATAGTGAATATGTGGTAAATACAATCACAACCAGGTCTGAAGCCAGCCTGATTTTCTCGTGTTTGCAGTTCATGAGTCTTAGGCGTCCGATAATTATTGAGGCAAGTATTTTAGATGCTATGTTAGTCAAACTAATCCCTCTATGTTTATCATAGGATGATTTTGACAATCAGTGATTGTGACCAGTCAGATGGGATTACGTCTAACTCTCAGATTTTAGCTAAAATATTAGTCAACCCAATCGCTAGAATTGGACTATCATCTGGAGCCAATCCATCTGGATCAGCTGTTCTTCCTCGTTTCAGATTAGCTACAGATTTTTGAACTTCAGTTAGTATCAAGGGACCTAATTCGATGTTTTATTCAGGTTTTCTGGGTATAGTGAGTAGTTGTACAGTAGTTGAAGGCCAGCTGAACTGCTCTTTAAAGTGTTCCTCCCGTAGTTCTATACATCTGGGCTGAGAGCAGATAAGTGTCATTTTTTCTGAGATAGTCTCACTTACACTTGGCTTCTTAATTCCAGTTTCTTTTATTCGTCTGAAGAGTTGCCTGGTGTTGCCTACAGCCGCTGCCTTTTCCATCTCTTTCGCTTTCGTTGCCCACCACTGCTCACGATCGTATTGTAAACTTTTGGTTAACCTAGATTTTCTTTCTTCATCGTGTTTCGAGCCTGATTGATTAAGTCTACGAGAGTCTATCAGTGTAATAGATGTAGCAGAAATCTACTGGTTTTTCGTGACCCTATGGTTTAAATCACTAATACTTGTCGCTGCTGTTTCCACAGCTGTCCGTACATCTTTCCAAACAACATCTGGGTCAGTCCCGTTTTCAGAGCTACGTAAGTGTAATTTCAGTTGTTCCTGGAATCTAATTTTGGCTTACTCGTCCCTCAGTTCAATCCTAATGGGTCTTCTCAGTGTGGTTTTTCTGCATCCAGTGAGGCGCGAGCAAATACATGCTCGTATTAGAGCACGGTCGGAGTCCGAATAGGCATTCTTTTATTGAGCCTCTCCGACGACGACTGATGGCAATATGGTTTATTTGAGTCCATCGTTGGTTTGGTGCAGGGCGTCCTATCCATGTTAGACGATATCTCTCCTTATGATTAAAATTAGTGTTTGCTAAAAACAAACAAACATCTGAGCACGGTTGCAGCAGACGATCACCATTATCAGTTCGTTGAGCCGGTATACTAAAATACCCACCTAAATGTCTATCTGTTTGGTTTAAGCGGCCTGATTGGGCATCAAAGTCACCTACAACGAGTACTATGTCTGAGTGTTTAGCTTTATGAAGTTCAGAAAGATTTTTGTAAAAGTTATAATTCACTTTATCTGGGCTGCAATCAGTGGGAGCATAGGCAGAAACGACGCGTGTCCCTAACCTTCCGAGTTCTTACAGTGATCTTGAGTGCTATTAGAGGTATGAGAACAGTTATCACTTCCCGGTTGCCCACACCGTGGAAGGGTTCTTCTAGAGGTACCTGAAACGGAAATTGGATTAGAGGCGGTCTTAGCGATCTGAGAGCGCGACCGCAGTGCCCAAGGGACAACTGCTTGAGGTTGGACACACACGACCTTTTTGTGAGTAATGTTCGTGCTGGCGCCGTAATTGTTGAGACCTTACCGCCGGAGACGGATATCCGTGGGATAAAGCGAGGTGTGTACTTTTAGGGTCGACTTTTTCTAACGCCAACTTTCTTTGTGGGAAGGCAGTATCATTGTTATGCTGGTTGTCTGAAGGAAACAACTTGCCGCCGTCACACCTCTGTACAGTCAGCATTACGATTTCGCCTTCGGACCTTGGGTTTGCTGCATTTAGTCTTACCGTTCTTCAACCGACCTGCCTGGCATGGTAGGACCTTGAGGAACGACTGTTCCAGCCAGTATAGCTCGATTGGTTTATTACAAGCACGCCCGACCACCACGTCAAGGTAGCAAGAAACGGTCGGGAACTGACTATTAGCAAGGTGAAATACATATCAAGATTGTAGACTTCAATAAATAACGGAACAAGATTTTATGACTACCAGTATAGAGAAAAGATTTCAAATACACTCACCTTCTAACGTCAGCCAAACTACTCAAACTTTGCAAAAATGAACTTGAACCACCTTTACGGAACTCGAATGGGCCATAAGGTTTTTGTGATTTTAAGGATAAATACACTCCACGACAAGGAAAGCATGGGGCCTTTCGTATAACAAGAAAATCCATATCCCTAATATCGATTTCATAACCTTTTCTATCTTCTTGGGATAATGACGAGTCTGTAAGGTAATCTAAATAGGAATGACAGTGAAATTTACCTTGATCATGATGGGGTACCCAGTGAATACTTACTTTTGATCCCTAACAAAAATTGTAATTATACACGAATCGCAAACTAACATGATCTGTTAAGAACAATGTTCCCTTGATTGAAATACTATCTGTCGGGCATTGATTCGAAATATACATCAAGTAGACGTCCTCCCATTTTCTGCAATCAGTGTTTCCTGATCCGTTCTGAAAAATTACGAAACTAACCACATAAACCACACTGTAGGCAAAATGAGTTGAGAACAATTGACACTATTACTAACATGGAACAAAAGGGAGAAGAGCCTTGCAGTGTGCTATAAACTTACGTGCAGTAACAAAGGTTGCCTATTTGGTTATAACAAAGGAATTTTGGAGGACAAGTTTGTCAAACGCCTAAACGGACAATTTTTTTGTCAAACACACAAACAACTTTGAGCAACGAAAGCGTTTTATTGATAACGAAAACATATGAAGGGGACTGAGAAATAGTATAATTATGTAAAACTTTGCGATATGAGAGATCTCTTAAAGCGGCTTGAATGATTACTGTTGAGCTTACACAATATCTCTGTTATGACTGTATCTTTTGGCTCTTCATTTCATTCACACACCCTAACTTTTATTTCATACTTATGGTTAAATACTTTCAGAGACATTATTTGTGTTCTTTTTATCGTGGCGTACTAAAAATGATAGTACTATGAACACAAGCATGTATATGCCGAGTTGTGATAGCAATGACAGCATAGGTAGATTCGGTTTTCTGATTAGGAAATATGGCTTTAAACTTTTGCTACCGATTTCGAATACTAATTGGTTTTCCAAAATAGCTAACTTATTTTCACAAAAATATAAGGGTTTGGAGCCAAATATTGTCCATTTCACAACCTCGTTTACCACTCAGTTATTGACAAAATACTGACCTAGACAATGTCTATATCAATTTGCATACTTAAACACCTGCTATATCACAAAGCTTACTCCCAAGTTTCAATAGATTAAACAATATAAAAAGTGCCGGATGCATTTAGATTTCGATCAAACAGGGGAAACAAACAACGAATGCTTAGCGTAGCAGTAATAAAAGAGGAAAAGAGGAAAAACGATTAGTGAAGTGACGCGTGTAATTTGGTTGAAGCTTAACATCATGTGAGGCTTACTATGAAAATTTATAGGAGTTTAGTTAAAATATGTAAATAGAAATCACCAGAATAATTATTACTAACTCAGTGGATGTGTCAGTGACTATGATGAAAAGCCTTATGAACAAATGGGCACAATAATTACAGTTTATAGGATTTCCAAAGAGTGAAAAGGAACTATCTGTGATAATAGAAAGTGTATACAAAATGTAAAATCTCTAAGAAAACGTTAAAACTAAAGGAGTCATATTTGTGAGTAAAGACAGTTAACAATCAACTGGATACTAACTAAACCTATCCACCGAAATGGATCTTCCCGTCAGACTACCACTTACTAACGTTTGATCTTTAGGACACAATGTAGGAAAGTATGTTAGATTGATGTCTCAGTTCTAAAACTGCGTTATCTGTAGTACGAGTAAAGCCTAATTTGTGAGTCCCGTATAGGTCTCCAACACATTTCATCACTACTTAAAGCAAAATGGATTTGTAATGAAAAACAACCCTTACACGCAACTTTGGATCTATCCTAATATGCAATTCTGATGGCCTCATTCAATTGTATCAGTAATAACAAATGAAGTTAAAATCCATAAGTGGGATTTCACGAATAAATTTAGGTTTTGCAGTTTTTAACTGGAGATTGGAGACCCAACTCCACTGAATTACTAAAACCAAACAAACCCAATAATATTCAATGTAACATTTAATGCCGACATATCATGATATGTCGAAATACAGAGGCGGGAGACAGAATCACAGACAAGTGGAAGTGCCAAGGCTGAACAAGCTAGACCAAAATAAGCCTCGTAGTTCTAATTCACACCCAAATATTCGAATATATAAATGGTAGTAGAACACATACATATTCACGTATATTTATATATATCATCTGGACCGAAAAGCTGGTTTATATAGATCCAGTGAGTCCAAGAACTACTAAAAATCAATGTTCTGTAGTCATAATGGTTCGGCAAAGAGGTTTCTCATGTTACTATAGTGGAATAATGCTTCACATAATTACCATACGTTGATCGATTAGCAAACAAACCACGCGCGCTGATCATCTGACCAGACTGAATCATGGCGAATGATTCAAACACATTTTTACAATTTCGGTTAATAAACATCCAGACAATGAAGCAAATGATTTATAACAACATTATTCACTAGGTTAATGATATGAACTTCCAAAACTCTATGATTTTCGTCATAGTCAATGACACACCGAGTTAGTAATAATTATTCTGGTGATTTCTATTTACATATTTTGACTAAACTCCTATAGATTTTCATAGTAAGCCTCACATGATGTTAAGCTTCAACCGAATTAAACGTGCCACTCGATTTATTATTTGCTACTTTATATTATATTCCTTGAAAAAGCTTGGACCAGATTGCCAGGCGAAACGTTGGATTTACTACAAATTTATTCGCTGAGATTTTACAAATATATTATTCCTATTTAATGTTTTATATTATATTGTTTGATTTGTAAAAGTTAACTGAAATTTTTCGATCGATATTCATGTTTTGTCAATCTTTGACTGTCGACGGTTGCGCAGTCAATATATGTGGGATATTTTTGTAGTGTTTACTTAGGCCGATGATTCCTTAGATACTGAATGTATACATTACACCAACTTCGTTCTCCACATAAAAACCAGAGACCTCTCATACGATGCAAAGGTTGTAATTTGATTTCAAATCTTTGGTGAACAGTCATCGTTATTCATTATTCGTTGTCACTGTCTTAGGTTGGCTGAAGTTGGAGATGATGACTGGGTGCAACATGCTAGCATAGTAAATCGAGTGTCTGGGTGTTTCAAATTATCGGCAATGACGGAAGACCGGTTTAAGTGTCTTTTTTATGTGCAGCTTGCAGTTACCTGAAATTGTCAACATGTATAACCGAAATTGTAAGTTAAATTGAACAGTGTCCAAATATAACGCTGCAAGAGGCGTCTAGTGAATATCAGAATTCGGTGGACTTAAAACATGGTACTTCTCTTGTTGAAAAAAGTACCGGACATCATATGTGCAGGTAATAAAATGCAGAAAGATTATTTGTACTTATTAAATATAGTTAAAACAAATAGCCTCCATCCTCATGCTGGTTATGTGGTGAGTGGCACGACAAGAAGTTTTGCACAGATGAAAACTATTGTTGTATTAAATGTCATCAAAATGCCTATAAAGAATACAGTCACAGGAAAAGAACCCACGGTCTCTCCTCGAAAACCTATTTCAGGTAATACAGATCCAGTGCGATAACTCACGAAATATCTTATAACAGAGCGCGAATTCACTGCCGAAGAAAGTAAGTAACTTTTAATATTAATAAACAACGTGCTCGCTTTCAACTTTATACACCATCTGATACCATTCTGGTCAGCCCAGAGATTTGGAAAAGTATCGAGATTTCCCCTGTTCATATAACAACGCAAATATCACACTATGTATCTGGTGGGGAGGTAAATATTTTTGGAGAAGTACTTTTTCTAAAGATAAAGTGACAACTAATGTAACATTATATCTAACAAAGAATCCAGCACTTGTTAAGAATAGGTCTGATAGAGATACTAAAACTAGCAAGGCTTTCGATTAAAGGCATTTGATAACCCCTTAGAGTGGAAGCAGAAAAATTCTGTGCTACAAAGACTCCACCACGTGTTTATAGAAGGACTGGGAGAGTATACGAAAGGCAAGCACTACTAACCATCAAACCCGGAGCTATTCTTGTTTCTCGACCTAAGAGTTTCTTGCCTTGTGATACCCCTTCAGTACTTGAACAAGAATTAGAAGGGCTTCAGAAAATGGATGTTATATGACCTGTAAACTTCTCAGGTTCGGCTGTTCCAATAATGGTGGTTTAAAAGTTTGAAGGGAGCGTTCACCTATGTGCAGACTATTTCACCGGACTAAATGAAACTCTAAAGTCTTATCAGTATCCCTTACCCCTACCGGAAGATTTCTTCTTCATGCTGAACGGTAGCAGGTATTTTGTGAAATCGGATTTATCTGACGCATATTTACAAACATCTGATTCTGATAGGAAATAAGGTCTTTTAACGATCAACATACATAAGGGTATGTGCTGTTATAATCATCTACCTCTCGGAGTGAAGACGGCACCCTCTATTTTTAAAAAAATTATGGATGCCATGTTGCAAGGTATTCCAGGACTTGGCAGCTTACTTAAAACATAACATAATTATGGGAGCAGACAAAACGAACTTACAAAAAGGATTGGGTGCTAGAATGCATAGTGGAATATGGTTTACACCTCCGTGAGGAAAAGTGCGACTGTATTATGAAGCAACCACAGTATCTCGGCTTCACAATTAATCAAAATGGAAGACGAGCACATCCAAGGAACATTGAAGCTGTGAAAACTATACCTGGATCTATGGATATCCCTACTCTACAATCGTTTTTGGGATTGGTCAGTCATTACGCTACCTTCCTCTCATCGTCTGCGTGCTCCACTATACCACCTGCTAGAGAGGAGTGCAAAATGTGATTGGCCAGCGAACCGTCTAACATCTTTCGAGAAGATCAAGCAACTCCTAGCTTCCAGCCTCTTGCTGACGCATTATGTTCCTTTCCTACCAATAGTGGTTTCTCCAGATGCTTCTACCTATGGTAGTGAAGAAGTAATCTCTTTCATTTTCCCTGATGGTCTGAGAAAGCAATCTCCTATGTTGTCTGGTCCATGATTACAGCAGAACGAAACTATAATCAAATTTAGAAAGAGGCTCTATCAATTATCTTTGCAGCAAAAGTCTTCCACAAGATGATATTTGGTCAGCAATTCACTTTAATAACAGACCATAAGCCATGACTGACTGTATTGGGGTCGAAGAATGGGATTTCTGTTCACACGGCTAACCCACTACAACGATGTGCGATAATACTTCAGGGTTAAGATTTCACGATCAAGTATCAGTCGACTAACGCTCTCGGGCAAGTTGATGCGTTATCAAGATTAATAGGATCCCAGTCAAAAATGACAGAAGATATTCTTGTGGCACGTGCATCAGACACACAAACTAAATCTTTAAAGATGGAAGAATGGTGCCCACTCTATATAATCAGCTAAATCTCAGACATATCAACGACACAGACTCCGAAGAATATTTAAAACAAGACTGGTAACAGAAAGACAGCGAAGAAAATGGAACGCCTTGGCAAACCAGTCGTCAGGTTACAAGTGGATTCAAGGAAGAAACCTTATTCCGTTCTCCAAGCTGAACTATAAGACAGAATAGCTTGAAATCAAATTTTGTCAAAAAAATACATTGCTAGGAATTTAAGGAGTATCATAACATAATAATGTTTTGCTTGATAATTTTAGTTTGTGACGAATTTCGCTGCTAATTATTCTATAGAACACCGTAGTATACCATTTGTTCATTCTCACAGTTTTCCCAATGTCCATAATTATCTTGACAGTTTTTTATTGAATTTGTTTTTTCACGTCGTTTTCTAGTTCCTGTAGACCACCATGAATAAAAGATAATTTAGCGAGAAGAAAAAAGTTATATATATTTATAATATATATACGTGATGCATTTTTTATGAAGATTAAGGGTTAATATTCCTTTTGGCGATCCAGTCTGATTTGACACAAGCGTGTATCTCAATTAAAAATTACAAATTCAGTAGGTCAGGCGAGTGTATGACCGAACGATAAGGAAAAAAACTGTCAATTTAAGGAACATCAGCATAATAGTTTACATATTTAAGTTGATTTCAGTTATTCTTCAATATATCTAACCACTCAACGTGGAGTAAAATGTTTGATTGTTACTCATATGTAGGTTTTCTTTAAGTAAATTCAGCTGAGAATGTAAACTTATCAAAAAACGTCCCGTGGCCCTCCATTCTGTTTCGCGTTCCTCATTTGTTTGTCTCCTGGAAATAAATAGTTAATTTAATTATAAAGTATTGCCACACATGTAAAAATTGTACAGATAAGACAGATGGATGTCAAATAAATACTTCAGAGGGGGGTTTTGTGGAGAATTTAGTATTTTCACAGTTGAAATCATGAGTCAATTGAAGCTAGACCACCACTAGGACGAAACGGCCGTTTAGTGCATTTAGGGTTTCAATGGTGGTATAAATCAGATCGATTCATGAATTCAACTATTAAAATCAAATCGTTAATGTTGAAGTGACCAATATTAAGTGTTAACATGAGTAATTTTATACATTAAATAAAATTCTGAGTGACCTACCCCTATTCACCCAATTCACATTATTCCACATGTTACATGATTTCTGTTTAGTAATTACATTATTACCTCTCTCACCCCATATTGACCATATTTATTCTGATCTTTTACCACACAATTTCATTCAACGTATAAAGTTATTCAAGTTAACACTTCATATTAGTCACCTTCACGTTAATGATTTTAATTTACGGTATATCATAAACAATCCTTAATTCACATACTATGATTTTAAATGATGTAATTTGCTTGAAACATATCCAATTTTATGAAATATTATTCTGGATATACAATTGTAAACCCTGAAGAGAAATTTTTGAGAAGAATATTCTTCGTTCATATATCTGCTTTAATATGATTGACATTTTCAGCGATTAAAATAGTTTATTGTCAAGATGAACGGTTTTTAAGATGTTCGTTTACTTTGAACATGGTCAGTGCAATAAATTACATCAGTTCTAACACTGTTAAGAACAAGAAATCACTGACCGAATAGTCTGTCATGGTTTATGACTCTTCATTAGTACGAACTCACAGAATCGATGTCAGAATCTTCGGTCTTCTTTCAGGTTAATTCAGTTAACTGATGACATTTCTTAATCATTATGTGGAACTTGAAGATAATCATTTCATTCTCTAGTGTTCAATGATCCTCTATGTGACATCAGTTGATTATGAAAAATACTATCAAATGTATTTTGTAATCTGTTATCGAATTTAATTTAACTATTTAGTATAACACTTTAAGCTTATAATTCAGTAAGGAAATATAACTGTCTTATGAGCAATACATTTCCATAGAACGGAGAGGATATGAAATATTGATTAACTACACCATCTGATAACATTTTAATTATTTAATTGTATTGTAAATGCAGTTTTTAATGGAAATCACTGAGTTTGGGTCTCAGTTATGATCGTTGACACAAGAATCTTACATAATTGTTACTTAGATAATGATGACGGTGGTTTGTTAACTTTTGCCTACTGAGACTTAATAAAGTCTGATCATTTGTCACTTAGTAATGTTTTCTGAACAAACCAGTTCAACCTAGTCGGTTGAATTCAAATGGTTTAAGCATTTTGAATCCCAGGGTTGAATTTCCAGGTAAATTTGATTTAAAATTTATCTCCGAAAGACAATCTAGTGTGAGAATAACCATCTGTTTCCAATAAAAGTGCCTTAAATATCTAGCATTACCAAGCATTTTTCTTTCTATTTAAAGCGTTATTGTCGTATATAATAGTGTAATTTCATTGTGAACTTTATTTTAACCATCAAAGGCTATCTATATATGTCTTTGGTGTACGTGCTAGCGTAGCGCATCTCAACTTACCAGGTGAAAAAAGAGAATGAAGTGAAAGTTATAGCTTGAAATAAAATGCACAGTGAAAATTATGCTCTTATATATAGTATTTACTCACTAAATGAACGGGAATTTTAAGGAAATGCACACTTATTGAACATTCAGAGACAGATGCACTACGAAATTTATCCCATCCCACAAACTATCATCTGTTGTTTGAATGTGTTATAGATAACTTTACTTTGCACGTAAACAAGACTACTTGTAAAAGTATTATTTACCAAAGAAAATTAACCGTATAATCTAAGACGTTTCGAGTAAATTGATTGTCTAAATGAAGTTACTTCTCGGAACTTAAATAACTGATCACTCACGATATTTGAACTGAACTATATTTTGTAACATACTAAATGAACAAACATTTTGAACCATAATACGATTATCGTCTAACCTCCATTTCGTTCGACGATTTTGAAACCATGTTTTCACTTGTACATCAGTCATTTTTAATAAGTTTGCTAGTTCATTTCTCTCTGTCGAAGCCAAGTACTTTTGTTGACGAAACTTTCTCTCGAGTGTTGTCACCTGTTAACAAGTCAGATAAAATAACCAAAAAATAAACAATTTATCTAAATTATACATAGTTGATTCAAGAAAAAAATGTGAAAAGTATAAATAATAATTAATTTGTTCGTAAAATTTTCAATTAAATTATTTAAATAATGTTGGTTGTACAAAAGTAAGCGTGTAAAATGAGTTGGAAATGTGAATTAATTGATACTTAACTGGGGTTACTGAACCTCGTAACTAACCCAGTTTTAGTACCATATTGTTCCTTCCGTCCTTACTTATTCGGATAACCCATGAAAAGTTCAAGCGAACTTTACCACAAAAAAAATGCATTTTTCGAATATATTATATGTTCTACTTACAAGGAGAAAAGATGGGTCACTAAGAAAAAACATAAATAAGACAATTAATTGGACTAGCTAATATGAAAATTTTCTTAGATTTGTTCTTGTACAATAAAATAGGAGCCTGATTAAGACACTTCACTATAAAATCACGACCATATGCTCATTAGATGCTATTGAAGACGAAATAAAGGTATTGTATACAACTCTGAAAGGAAAAGAAATTTACAAACCAATATTTAGCCGAGAAAAGAGAGCATAAAGGAATGTCTAACTGTGAGAAAAAGCCTCTGTATATTTGCTAACAATTTAGAGGCGATGCACCCTGCGAAACGCTAATACTAAAGTTACACAGAGAGATCCAATGAACTTTAGTTCAGGTAAACTACACTTATTGTTTTCTACACATCCGATGACAAACTGCCCAGACTAGCCATTTCTTTCTCATTTTCTATGAACTTTCAAAGTAATTGAAAGTTATTTTATTAAGAAAATAAAAATTTCACTTACTTGATATCTTGTGAATGATGCTCTTGGTTTTTTCCGTTTCCTAGGTATTCTACTCTGATAAGGATGTCCAATGCGTCTTGGTTCTACGTAAATATTATTAAAGAAATTAAGATTTTTGACTATAACTTTTGAGATAAACAAAAATATATTCTCATAACACAAAAACTTCAATGATAAGTGCCCACTGGTATGGTTTTAAGACTACACACATTACAGTGATGTACTGTAACCATTATAATTTGTATTGAGCGTTTCAATGATGTTTATTAACATCTAATTAATAACACTGATTGGTGCATAATAAATTTGATACACAATCTAGTAGATTGTCCTACGAATAATCAAAAATGGTCTATTTTTCTTAAATTTGAAAATATCCAACTTTTTAACAGCTACATTAGTGAAATATGTCTAATCTACGCATCTCCCGTTACATTTATTTTCTTGGATTTCTCTTATTACCCATGGAAATACAAGCTTATAGCAATTTAATCAAAATTCAGATGCCATTATTTAACTATATATTGCTATTTAGATGTTTAGCACTTCAATGTCATACATAAACCATGCACAAGTACTTAAAGATAAACTGTTATGGAATCGTTAATCTGTAAACTGAAATCATCTAACATGTTATATGCTCTTAAAGTCGTTAATCTTGCCAAGAATGATGATCTAGGGTTCAGATGATCCTTTTTGGGGGTATTTTTGACGTGTATATCCTCTTTGTGTAGTGATTATTTTGATTTACGATCTATTTTCAATTTTAACGAATTAGTTTTATTTTTCAGGACTAGAGAGTTAGTAATAAGCTCAATCAATTATTAAGCATGAAGGAAATTCTAGATATAGTATTTCTGCATTATTACCTGATGTCGGTTGGACAACCGTTTAAAACCAGGTACTGTTAGACAGCTGTATCGTTCTAGTATAGGATTCCCCATCAATCTCATCCAAAACCTCAATAGGGATCAAATCTAGGATCTTCAGGGTTCGTGGCGAGAGAATAACTTGTAAGTTAATGGATTGGCATCCAATGATTTAAATTTCCAACTTTAATTGATCTGCAATATTGCATGATAATCATTTCGACTAGTTTGTGATGGTCATGAGGACTGAACGTCCTGAATTTGATCACTTACAAAGATAGCCAGTGGAAACGTAATTCTAAATACTACTGTAAAATCAAATGTCCTTAATTTTATATCTTATTTCACTCAGCTTTGATTGCAACCCAATACTATATAAAAAATTATGTATCAATTCAGTGCACATCAGTAGCATTCATCAATGATTATTTTGTGACTTTTAAGATAACCAACAATCTTTTGACTGAAATATTCCTTTAATTAGAACTAGACATCGTAAATTTTAGCCGTTTAACACATAATTGTAATTGTGATTTATAAAAAAACGATAATAGAATTTACAAATAGCTACTGTTGCTACTGCTAATCACTTTTTAGTAGAACTTAAGTTTGTTTTGATGATATGCTACCATATAGTAAACAATATCGAACACGCTCTTATGTAAGTAAATGAATCTGTGGATGAGATTCTCTGTCATGATAACATATAATGAATGAATGATGTTCGCTGAACAAGTAGCTGCATTACATTTCCGTTTTATAGAACGGAAATAATGATACATTCGCCTTTCTATGCATCACTTAGAAAAAATTCAATGTGAAATAATTTATATTAAAACAGAGGATTTACCGTAGAAGTGAACGTGTAAAGAGTGTTTTCACGGTTCCCTAATTATACATATTTTTTTATCCCTGAAATATACAAACTTGGATGATTTCATGAAAAACAAGGGTAGTAACAATACATACTATCGCCTAATATAAATTTAAACAAAACAAGAACGATGGTATTTGTAGAATACAATAAATTCATTGTATTCAGTTCTTCCTCTTCAGCTACATACAAACTATGGTTGTTTCATGAAAACTTTCAAGGAGCCAGTCATCATCAAGTCACAGTTAAAACCGTCTAGAAGTACAAGTTGTAGTAAAGTTTAAAGTTTCAAGGGGTGTTCTTATCAATAATTCCAAAAATATTTCTAATAGGTAAAATCTGGCTAGCAGTGGGATCCAGGATTTCGTCTTATTTGGGACTTATCTGCCGGATTAACCTGGATCTTACAAACCTAGTACCCTTTGCTTCAAACATCAAACGTGTTATTCACCTAGCTATTGAGTCTAGATGGCCATTCACTAGTGAAATGAGTATGAACTTTAATTCAACTTGTTATATGTTCGGATTATAGGGCTGTTGATATTTTCTGGTGAATCTTGATCCAAAACCACTACAAATTGAGTTAAAGTTCCAGTAATTAATGTCTTTCCTGCTTTATTTAAATCAGTGAATGACTTTTAGTGTCCAAAACTAATTATCAATAGCTCTTTTTTTTATACCTAGATTCTGTCATTTTTAGCACCAATCAGCAAGATCATTATGCACTATTGAGTGATTTCGTTTATTGAACACATCATTTCCAACCATTACACGTTAATTTTATTCCAACGAGTTATCCAGTTTTTTTTCTGACTACTGACATATTTGAAAAAGGATTGTCAGAATTCAATTAGCACTTTCATTACTCTTTTAACAATCAACCAATGTAAATGATAGAAGTAATTTTTTTAATGTTTCACATAATGAATGTGAATAAATGTATGACGATGGTACATATTTAAATGATTCATTTTATTTTAACAGCTAAGAATCTACTACTGCTTTGTTTTTTTGAAAAATAACACATAAAATTTATCAGAAGGGGATTTTGTGGAAATTTTCTTAATTCATTAATTGAATTCATAGATTCAAATCCCGCAAGTGGGATTGTAAATGAGCATTGTTGACGACTACCATACTGGGAGGAATTGATCATCCAGTGCTCACAGGTTTTCCATGATGATCTAGCTTTAAATGAATTCAATTCATTAAGTAAAACTATAATTCTTAAAGTTGAAATTTTAAAAAAAAGTGTACATGAACCTACCAACAATAAGATTATTTTTGGATAATTCACTTAGGATATCTTTTGAATTATTAGTAAGCATATATGTTAAATATTTCATCATTATAGGATTTGTTACATTAAATTCTTCTATATATTTTGTATTTAATTCATTGAGTACATTACCATTATTATTATTAATGGTTGTATATTTAAATGACTTTAATATATTTATAAATCGTTTAAATTGTGCGGAATTTATAATTTGTTCAATATTTTTATAATTATCATTTGTTAATGATTCCAATGGTTGTATTATTCTATTAGAATTCATTGAATTCAATGAATTATTTGATAGAATTGATGATGTAATTGAATAATTATGATTCATTGAATTTGATGATGTAATAGTTGTTATAGGTAATAGTATTTCTTTAGATTTATTATTATCTTTAAATGTCAATGGTATATCATAATTTGATCTGAGTATTTCATTAATACTAAATTTATCTGACATTATTGTGAAGTGATCTAGATTTTAATCTCTTAAAATGGATCTTCATTTATTATATTTGAATAATGAAAAGATTCTCTTCTTTTTCATACCCCTTTTTATTGATATTTAATTGGATAATAAAATGGGAAGAGTGAATGTAAGCGGATTTTTATGTGATTGGTTTATTTATTTATTTTTTTGTGTGGTTTTTGTTAAGGAATACAATTTGATATGATGTAAACAGATTATGATCAGTTAGGTAGATAGATAATTTTCTATTGAATTTTGAATAATGATCGAGAAGAATAAACGATGAACCTATGAAACTCTTTCTATGAATAAATTAATATATTTGTAATAACCCAATGAGTAGAAAAATTAGATTTTCTGACGTTTCGTGACTTAATGTAAGCCACTTCTTCAGAGAATAAATAGCCAAATTAACATTAATCTAAGTTTAAATAGTACTATTTAAAGAAGTGGATTACACTGAGTCACGAAACGTCAGAAAATCTAACTTTTCTACTAATTGGGATATTACAAATATATTGATTTATTTATAACAACCTACCCAATGCTCAATTTCTTCAAAATTATCAAATCAAAACTTGGTAATGATATCTTCCTATGAATATATTTCGAATCAAATATGAATTAGAATTCATCATACCACATAGTCTTTATTGGAGTTTTTGGAACTTTTCTAACACAACTTAAATAAGGACCTATCTAAACAAAATGAAAATTGAATTCACAAGTCAATCTACGCTAAACTATTATTGAAAATCTGGAAGGATTGTACGGTAGTTTCGTCTAGCTTAGATTAATTAATGAATTCAACTATGAAAATACTACAATCTCGACTAATCCTCAAAATGGAATATGAAAATTAGTAATACATCTCTACTATGAACAAGAGATTTAAATGGACAATATTGTTTTCAATTAGATCTTCATTAGACTTTACTCCAATATACAGTGATATTCATAAGCATATATACAAATATTAAACCACTCAAGGTAGTTTGTAAGTCAATGATAACAATAAAATAGAAGGGGTTTTGTGGATATTTTGATAATTTCATATATTTGAAATCATGAGTCAATTGAAGCTAGACCACAATGCAAAACCTGGAAGCACTGGACGGCCGTTTTGTCCTCTTGTGGGACTGGTTAGCAGTGCGCATCCACGATCCCACCTGAACGGTGAACGGTTGCTCAACTTCGTGGGTTGGTTGAAGTTAGACATTAACATCATTGGATACAGATTCAGTGGTTTAGTGGTTAATCGATCGGGCGCGAGACTGGTAGGTCCTGGGTTCGAATCTCGCGAGGCCGGTTCGTGGATGCACGGTGCTTAGGAGTCCCGCAGTGGGACGAAACGGCCGTCCGGTACTTCCAGGTTTTCCATGGTTGTCTAGCTTCAATTGACTCATGATTTCAACTATGAAAAAAGCAATAAAATAAATTAAAGAATATAAGATGATCAGAAAGTGTGAACTAAAATTAGGACGATAGGTGAGCTAGTTGTGATAGAAATAACAAAGGCTTGAACTAATGTTTCACAATAAGGTAGTAGGTTAAGGATTTGGGGAAACAGAGACTAGAATAACATATGTTAAAAGTTACTATAGTTACGCATTAATAAGTGTCCAAATGACTGGATAGTGAATAGCATATTCGAAAAAGGGTCAAAGGAAACGAACTATAAGGATGGATATTTTGATCTACTGACACGTAGAACATACCAGATTTGCAGGAGTACCAATAATCTAAAATTCTATAGAATTAGGAGTGGATATGTTCTCAAACACCCGTCTATGATCCATATCCACTGTTGGCTTGCAGTCAACTCTGTGTCTCATTGTACCACTGTTTACTTAGCCAACAAATATGAAAAAAATATGACAATGAAAAATGAACAATTAATAATGACAACAATTATTTTTTTTTAAAAACCACAAGTGAATTTCGGTTTGAAACACTTTTTAACCACATATCACTACATCCAAGTTAGTATGACAAAAATAAGGTCAGAGTTAGCTAGAAGAATGAAGTACTTGGCCTTAATGAATATATAAACTGTAAAAATAGTTCTTGATTTAAACAGAGTTTAATGATAACTTACAGTAAACCTTCATGATTGCTTCTTCCGTAAGTGACTTTTTGTTTTTTCTAAATACTATACACTGAAAGATATTCTCTTTTACGTGGGAAAACTAAACTCTTGGTAATTATGCATAGCATACTTTGCGTAACAGTTTGTCTCTGTTTATCACTAGCATCTGTTTTTTTCCTGATATTTCTTCAAATAATATTGAACCAGTGAATTTACGGAGGTTATCTTGTTGTTTGTTATCTGAAAATGTTATCAAAGATCGAACTTTATTTTCATTGTAAACAAAAATCAATTTATCATTCCAATCGTAATGACTGTAAAAACACACGTACACACCACTAACTAGCTTCAAAATAAACTAAGGAAACCAGTGAAAAGTCATGCTCACTCAAGTTTAACCATTCCAACAGTGGACCAGATATCATTTAAGGCATTGGGTAATATCACAAATAAACTAAATTTGAGAATTTAGTTAACCAAAAACTGGCTCACCGTCATAAAATATTATGCTCAATCTAAAATCTAAAGGTGTAGGTTTCGATTTCCGTGAGCAGTCACTGTTATGCAGTAATGAAGAGTAGCAAACCATGGTAAAAAAAATCTATTTCATGATCACTAGTTTTCAGTGGTTTTTCAGTTAACGTTCATTTATGAATAAGGCTACAAACTTTCATTTTAATAATCCCCAAAGTTATCAAATTTCATACAACGAAAGCGATTATTGTGACATACTTAATAAGTATCTGTAAATGTCTTTTAAACAAGGTAGTTATACAACATTATTAATCTTGAGAATATATAACGGTTAGTATAAATTGGGATTTCAGAACATTCTATAACATATTTATTTTCCTTAGGCTTATAACGTCATATCATAAATGAAAATTCAGTGGCAGCATTCGTGAAAATTTTTTTGAAAAAGCAACTACATTTTCTGACCGGAGAGCTAACGATTTCGATAAAAGACATGGGGAATGAAATCTACGATAAGTTTGATTCCTGTCCCATAAAATATATCCAGCTTCAAGTACGGAATATAATATTACTCAAACACTTAACTCAATATTAGATCTCATTGGCTGGATAGTAGACCATGTAACATGGGTTTATAATGAAAGACAATTGTAAAATCACTGAGCCAATTTATCATATGAAGAACAAACCTCTTATAACCTACATAATTTTCACATTACATACTTAATCACAACTTTATTATTCAGTCTTTCTACGGTTTATATTTGTATGATTAAATCACTCTTTTGATGTTGTAACATATATTACACGTTATTTCGACCATATTTATACTATTGAGTTATAGACATGACTTACACTGACATAAGATTTAGTAGGTTTAAATGAATCTGTCATCTAGATAATCTTCAAATATTGTGGATCACTACAATTCAATACAACGTTGTTTGAAAACTAATCCGATTACATAACATCGACTTTATCAACGATTTAGAGTAAGGATCCTAAATCTTTGTGATAAATAATTTTCATTTGAATCGAAATATAGTAGGCATTATATTACTAAACATCTTTATTTTGTTCATTAAATTTATGCAATTTTTTAAAATTTGCTTATTGTTTTTACTGGACTAATTCACCTTATGTAAATTTAAATTTAATTTATATTGGCTTCCAACTTATTTTGTATTCATGTATCCAATGAACAAAGTTAGGTATTCACATTCAGATACATAATGATTCTTGTTCATTTTTCAGTACGTATTTTGACAATATGAATGCACTGAACATCAATTAATATTATACACCTACTGATAATTATCATCAGCATTAAAATCTCTTACAAACACCTTAATGCTTGAATTACTTTTAATTTCTAAGTAGTATGTGAATTCTATAGGTAATATATATATGGAGATAAAGTATTCCACCGTTACTATGACAATAAGTTAACCAAACATATAAACACAATATGAAATACACTTTTAGTATTTATTGTATAAAAAAAAACTTAATTATAAAATAAAAAAATTAATCAAATTAGGCAAGTTTAATTAAGTTATCCTATTTGAAGTGAAAAGGGAAAAAGACTAAATTATAATCTATTAAATTAATTAATTAAATTATTAATATATATGTGTAACTTCTCTGATATGCAGTCATGTAGAATATATATATATATATATATATATATATATATATATATATATATTCCTCTTTAAGGGAACCCACTCTGTTTCATCTGATTGACCTATATTGTTTCTTTACTTTAAAGAAAAACTAATATAACTTGATTATTAGTAATTAGCCATATAAATTGGTTAATATGATGATGATGATGTATATTTATGTATGATTAAGTGTTTAGCAACTTTTTGTATATGTATGTATTCATAGAGGATAAGTTCTTTCTTATATAGAGATTGACACTTTTAAGTTATAATTCAAAAACGGAAAGAAAAACAATTAAAATCTTTTCGCTACATTTAAATATTAATCGAATGATTAGTGAACAATTGATTTGATTAAGTTAAAAACAAACTTCTGTTTTAAAAATGGAAGAAGATGAAGAAGAAGAAGTAGAAGAAGAAGAAGAAGAAGAAGAAGAAGAAGAAGAAGAAGAAGAAGAAGAAGAAGAAGAAGGGAAAACAAATGGATTCCAGTATTAATTAATGTTATAATTAAAGATGAGATGAATGTTACTGCTTATATTTTGATAGCTTATTAGTTTTAGTTCATTTCTGCTTTTTTTTACAAATTATAAATGACATAAATAAATAGATATAAATAGATATTAACCAATATGTTAAATATTCAATATTCTAGTTTATGAAATGTTAAAATAAATGATAATGATGATTATGTTTGTTTGGGATGATTCTGAAAATTTTTCGCAATAGACATGATAAGCTCAGGAAACATTAAGAAGAAT